ATGTATGTATCGTTAGTTGATCATGAATATCCCCATAACAAATAAATTGATGAAAGTAGGATGGGAGCCAAATAATGAATTATTTTATAAATAAACATAATTGTCAAGTAGTACAACCTTTGCTGAATCGAAAACCATTGAAGATAATTTAACATTGTGGCAATTGGTGTAAGAGGATTAGTTTGTAATATTATGCGCATGCCTCGATTTTGTAGTTTTTGAAGTTGATTTAACTTGTTGAGATTAAATAAATGAAGAATGGAGGCACAATAATCGAAGTGAGGCTGAATAATTGTTTTAATTCTAGAGAAGAAATATAATTTTTTCAAATTTTTTTTATTAATATAATTAAAGAAATCATTAAAAGTAAGTAAAGAGGTGAGCAACTTTTAGAATATATTTTTAATAAGAACCTTATTGTGCAAAATATAGGGAATACTCCAACATTTGTAACAAGGGCAAGAAGTGAGGTATTAGACATCACATTAAGCACACCGAGCATTAAAGATCTAATTAAAAACTGGAGGGTATTGAGTGAACCATCTCTATCTGATCACAAGATAATTGTGTTTACGTTAGAGAGCGACATTCCTGAGACGATCCTCAGGAGGAATCCTAGAAAAACAGACTGGGACAAATACAACAACATTCTAAAACAAAATTTAGCACGTATCCAGCCAAAAAGGGGCCGGGGCACCCACTTGCTCTGGAAAGCGATCTCGAAGAACTAAATGGGGTAATACTTGAGGCATATGAATCAAGCTGCCCCATTCAAAGAAATATAACTAGTAGGGATGCTCCTTGGTGGAACCGTCATCTGTCAAACTTACGATCCGAAGTGCGGAAGCTCTATAATAGGGCCAAGCACAGCGGAGATTGGCAGAGCTACACCGAGGCGCTTACTACCTACAACAACGTAACAGCTTTAAAAAATTCTGCGAGGATATTAACTCTACACCTGCGGCAGCGAGACTGCACAGGGCCCTGGCAAAAGGGAGAGTTGATACAGTTATGGCATTAAAGAAACCAAATGGAAGCTTCACGGAGAGTAAGGAGGAAAGAGCTCGCCTCTTACTCGAAACTCATTTTCCTGGAAGCACACCTTTTCTAATAAGGGACACAACTAAGGTAAGCAGACCCCCCAAGAGAGGCCGCTGTAGTGGCCAAACACATATGCAACAGAAATCGCTTAAGGTGGGCTGTAAATACTTTTCAACCGTTTAAGTCTCCAGGTGTGGATGGAATATTTCCTGCCCTGCTTCAGCAGGCACAGGAGGAATTACTACCACACATAATCCGGCTATCCCGGTGCAGTCTGGAGCTGGGATATATACCAGAAGCATGGAGAAGGGCCAGAGTCACCTTTATTCCAAAAGTAGGGAAAAAGGATACCACACATCCTAAATCTTTCCGTCCAATCAGCCTCACATCCTTTGTATTAAAAACAATGGAGAAGGCTGTTGATAATTATATCAGAACAGAAGTCCTGGAGAGGGTGCCACTCCACCACAGCCAACATGCGTACCAAGCAGGAAGATCTACAGAAACTGCCCTGGTACAGTTGACTGATGTAATCCAGGATGCACTGACAAACAAAGAAATACAGCTGTGAACGATTATATTTTCAAAAAGTGTTTTTAAAAATGGGTTCCTAGACATAGAAGGAGCTTTTGACAACACGCCACACGAATCTGTAAAAAGAGCACTTGCATACAGAGGAGTAGATAACATCACATCCAGATGGATGGCTCAGCTGTTATCTACAAGAACTGCACAGACACAGATAGGGCAGGACGCCATCTCCATCTGCACAACCAGAGGATGTCCACAAGGAGGAGTTCTATCCCCACTAATGTGGAGCCTAATCGTAGACGAACTTTTATGCAGATTGACTGACCTCGGCATACCCTGTCAAGGTTATGCCGACGACATACCCTGTCAAGGTTATGCCGTCGACATAGTCATATTTGCTAGTGGCAAGTTTAGTAATATCCTGTGTGATATAGTCCAACGAGGACTAGAACATACCAAAAGATGGTGCCGTGAAATGGGACTTAGTATAAACCCTACAAAAACAACACTAGTAGCCTTTTCAAGGAAAAAAAAAACTTAATCTCAAAACCGTTAAATTAGACGGAATAGATATAGAATGCAAAAATGAAGTCAAATATCTAGGCCTAACCCTGGACAACAAACTTCTCTGGAACACGCATGAGAAGGAAGTAGTAAATAAGGCCACAAAAGCCCTAATGCTATGCAGAAACATTGCAGGTAAACGATGGGGATGTAACCCAAACATACTGCGAAGGGCTGCTATAGGATTTGAGAAATTTCCTTAGTGCAATGGCGACAGAAGGGGACACAATAGATCTTTTAGGTCGCAGTGTATTAACACCCCATTCTCAACATAACATAAGTAGATTATCTAATTGGATACCTAAATATTGCGATTTTTTCACCATTTATTTGTAAATTAACATTATTGATATCAAGTAAGCTATATTTATGTTTAGTTGTAAAAATAAATGCTTTTGTTTTGGTTACATACAATTTCAATTTGTTGAGTTGAAAATACTGGGCAACTTTCTCCAATATTTTATTCATTTTCTCGATTGCACTCATTAAATTTATATCGAAGCAGAGTTTCGTCAGCAAAGAGATTAATGAATTCACAATCAACAAACAGTCCAATATCTTTCAAATATAGTATAAAAAGCAGCGGCCCTAGGACACTTCCTTGCGGAACTTCTGTGTCAATGTTAATCTCGGGTAATATCTGATTGTTACAATGTACTTTTTGTCTACAACCTTGCAGATAATCATTCAGCTACTGGTATACTTTTCCACCTACACCATATTGTTGAATTTTCTTAAGTAAAATACACCTATCAATGGTCTCAAATTCACGTTTCAGGTCTAAAAAAACAACTACTACATATTTATTCTCATTCACATCATTTTTAAATTTACTCACCATTAACTGTAATGCAGATTCACAGGAATACTTTTTTCTGAACCCAGACTGGTTAGTTATTAAAATAGAATTATTATTAACATTTTCAAGTAGTTGTTCATACACAACCAGCTCTAATACCTTTTCAATTGGCGGGATAGTATTTACAGGCCTAAATTCTTTCGATTTTGTTGTATAATTACCTTTTTGAATTGGAACAATATTACTAATTTTTAGTTGAGATGGAACTTTGCCAGTATCAAGTGAGGTATTAAGTTTAAAATAATGTGCCCAATTGTTGCATACACTTCCTTTAGAACTTTAGAATTAAGAATATTAAATGCAGAATATTTATTATCTAATGAGTTCAAAATTTTATATAAGTCATGTAAAGTTAGTAAATTAAAGTTTTGAAATGGTAAGTATAAATTATTGTTTAGATTATGCCAGGGAACAGTTGCATCAATACTTCCAATAATATCCATAATACTTCCAACAAAATATTTCTTTAAATTTATTTGCTAGGTTAACATTATCATAAAGGATAATATGGCCTGATCACTAAATTGAACATGATCAGTTACATCATTTAATTTAATATTTACTAGTTTTTTTTAAAGTTTTCCACATCTCTTTAGGATTTTCTTTGAAACAATCAATTTTATTAAAATAATAAGTAGATTTTTTTGATTCAGCACATTAACTACCTCATTTCTACATTTTTAAAATGTATTCCATATATTCAGCTTTTGATGTTCTGCACATGACTTGAAAGACTTGTAAGCATTATCTCGGATTTTAATTTTACATTACATTTTTTCTATCTTCTTTTCTGTTTTATTTTCTCCTCAACGGAAGACATTATTTTCTTTTCAGCTAAAAATAACTTATTTTCCATAGAAGAAATTTTTTATTAAAAATTTAATTAAATGTACTACTTTTTCTGCACGTTTGTATATGAAAGTTATGCCTGGATCTAGTTTCATATTTATGAATTTCAGCCTTTAAGTTAAGTTATCCCGCAGGTATACTGGAGCCTGACTGATTTTGAATTTATAAATAAAAATGTGTGTAGTACTTAAGGAGTTTTACTATCGGTAACCAATTTAGTGTTTCCAACATCAAGTTTATAGGAGTGAACCTTTGAACATTTCAAAATTATGAGCATATGAATTTTCTGTAGTCTATTTGTTTTATTCTGGTTTAACATAACATACAATAATTGTGCGGTAACACGATTGTATTATATAATGTAAGGCTTGACCACTGGCTAAGGTATGGTGAACATCTTCTCAAATAATTAATTTTATATGCTACCGTTTTAATTACCTGGTTAGCATGTACTATAAAATGTAATCAATTGTTATGCCGAGATAAACAAATTTATTAACCCTTTCTATGTCATTATTCCCTATCCTTATATTTAACTTCAAATTGTTACCCAACTCATACTTTTTACTATTTCCCAACAATATCCACTTCGTTTTACTCATATTAACCTTTAACAAATTCGCACAACAATACTTGTAAACCTCTTCCAAAGTGTCGTTTACGACATTCATACAATTTTGTAAACTATCGCAAGCAAAATCTATAAGGCTATCATCTGCAAATAGACGAAATTTGCATTTACCCCCAGTGTTAATTATATCATTTATATAAATTTAAAAAAGCAATGGTCCCAAAACACTGCCTTGGGGAACACCAACATTGTTTTCTATTTCATCGGAATATATTTGGTTTAATTTTAGCTTCTGTTGTATATTTGCGAAATAATCAATAATCCAGTTCAATGCCATCTCATCAATCCCAATACCCCTAATTTTCGTTACTAGTCTTTCTCTATCAACTGTCTTGAAAGCTCTTTGCATGTAACATTAGTTATTTTGATTAAATAAACGATTTATATTACCAAATTGAATATGGAAAACTAAAAAGATCTAAAAAGGGTACATTCCAACGACTATAAATGAGCTACCTCTATAGGTTCGGCCATGTCGAGTATGTCTTTGCGTCATTCTCTAATTTTTTTTAAAATTATTTTTAGAAAAAGCTGAAACAGATTTTGCAACATTGAACGAAAAACTAGAACTTGAATGCCAATCGTTAAAATCAAAATTAGAAATTGCTACAAACACCATAAAAGAACATGAGGAGCAATTATCTAATTTATCGGCCGAAATTAACAAACTTCATACCAAATGCAATACACTGGAGGCAGAAACAGCTGATTATAGACATCAGCGAAATCTGGCAATTGATGAAAGAGATGAACAAATCAAAATGATGAACAGACGTAATTCAGAAATCGAAAGACTCCAATCTGATCTCAATACCATAACAAAACAGTTAGGAGAGGCTATAAACGCTAAATGCGAAGCGATAGCTTCCTCTGAAGAAGTTGCCTCTATGAAAATGAATATAGAATATCGCGAAAAACGATTAGAACAAGAAAGATCATTATTAAACAAGCAAAGGGACAGCCTAACAGAGGAACTTAATCAAAGAACGGAAGAATTGCTTAATATGAGAAGAGACAATACCTCAATTTGTATACAACTTGAAACGAAACTTACTCAAAAGACGCAAGAATTGGCTGTGGCTACTGAACAGATCAAATCTCTTACTGATTTAAACACTAATCTTAGTGTTAGAAATGAAGAACTCTCCGAAAAAATGGCGAATCAAAGAGATGTTGATGCTAAGATGAGTGAATCTTATGTCTATGAAATTGAAGCTAAAACAAAAATGGCTAACGCCTATAAATCGATGTATGAAGAACTACAACAACATGCTGAAGAACTTAAAGAAGCTCTTTCTGAGGTAATATTTAAACATTTATTTTCCAATTAAAAAATTAATTGAACATTCCAATTTTAAGGTACAACAATTATTAAAAACAGCCACTGAGGAATATGGCGAATTGGAAACTAAACACAAAGAAACTCAATTAGCTAATGAAGAAATTATATCCAAAAAGAATGATTGTATTGAATTATTGAAAAAAGAATTAGAAACTGCTAATGAAGTATTTGAAAATTCCAGGACGGAAATAAATGGAGAAGGTAAATTTGAAATTACAAAGATTTTTCTGTAACCTCATTTATAAAAATCATTTCAATTTTTCTAGGTCTAACATCTGGTGTGGGGTCAACATCAAAGTTAATAAAGTCAGGAATGTCTTATTCGGAATTATATTCTCGCTATGTCAATCTATCAGACAAATTTACAAATAAAGAAGAAGAATGTTCTAGATTAAATAATTATATTGAAGCTATTGTTCGTGAAATGGAGGGCAATTATCCAAAATTAAGAAAACTACATGAAGATTACAGTGACAGCATTTCAGCCATAGATGCTCTTAAAGAAGCAAATGATCAGTTACTAAATGAAGTGCAACTACTGCGGGATGCCAATGCTCAATGCAAAAAAGCAGAAGGAATACAATCAAGAGAAAATGATAGACTTAAGAAGGAAGTTGCTGATTTATCCAGACAAGTAGTTGTTTTGTTACAGGAAGTTGAAAATTCTCGTGTGGGCTCATCTTCAACATCCACAGATAACGATTTAAGTGATAGCATTAATTCGGCAGATATTATTAGTAAAAAATTGGTTACATTTAACGATATATCTGAATTGCAATCCAATAACATTAAATTGCTAGCTCTAGTAAGAGAATTATCTGAACGTCAAGAAGAGGTTGAAAGCTTAGATCCAGCTGCAATTGCAAATCTGAAAGCCAAATTAGAAGATCTCAACCAGTCGCAAAATGAGTTACTAGAGGAACGTGATCGCCAAACTAAAATGATGGTAACTCTTCGCAATCAAAAAGATATGTACAAGAATTTGTATGCTCAGGCTGTTAAAAGCACTGGAGAGGATATTCAAGATACAACGTTCCTCTCAGACAATGGAGAACCTAAAACTAGAACAGAAACTGAAACACAATTAGAAGAAAAAGTTCACGAATTAGAAGCCCAAGTTGAAAAGTTAACAAAACAGGTTGAACATCTGAAAGAAGAGAATGAAACGTACCGTAAAGAAAAATCTGCAAACGAAAAAATTTTACTTGAACAATTAGAAAATATGAGAGGGGAAGTAAAAGAATTAACTAGACTAAATTGCAAGTTAAGTTCTCATGCTGATCTTAATGAAGAAAAATTCAAAATTCTCAATAACAACATGGAAATTTATAAAAAACAAATTACTGCTTTAGAAAAACAAAACAAAATCTACAGTGAGGCTATCATCAAACATGAACAAGCAGCTACTTATTTAAAAAATGAGACTTTACAATGTCAAACAAAACTTTCCACTGCTGAAGTAATGCTGGGCAATCTTCAAAAGGAAAATGCACTTCTTAAAGATGCTGAACATAGATTACTCAAAGAAAGAGAATCATTAAAGCGCGATTCGCACCAACAAAATCTTATCAAATCTAACATAGAACTGATTAAGGCAACTCTGGAACGAACTGACGCAGAAAGTAAGTTGAGATTAGAGGCAAGACTTGATGAAGCTCATAGGGAATGTGCAGCTTTGCGAAGAAGATTACAGGAAGAGCAAGATCACTTCAGACAGTTATCAGATCATTTATCGCAACAAACAAAGGCAGCACAAGCTCGAGTGGAAGAAGAACGTGAAATTGCGGAGAGACTACGCAAAGAAGTGGCAGAGGTTAGGGAGGATCTCATCTCCAAAACCACCCAAAATGAGGAATTGAGTAAAAAATTAAAAAGCGGATTATTTGTTATGCCCGATATGAACGCTGAGACGCGTAAAGTTAGGGAATTGGACCAACAAGTATCTGATTTACAAGCTGAGATTGAATCGTTGAAAAAGAAATTGAAAACTGCTAAAGATGCATCTGATGAGTACTTCCAGGTTGCTGAGTCTTCAGAAAAACAAGTTCAAGATGCTATGGAAAGAAATGAATCTTTATTGCAAGAAGTTGAAAAGCAAAAATCGAGAATCAAGGAACTAGAAGAAAAATGTTATGAATTGGAAGGAGAACTTTCTATCCAATTAGATGATCAAGACATTATGAATGCTGGTATAAAGAGTAAGTCTACACAACTTCAAGAAGAATTGAATATAAAAAATTTGGATTTACGAACTGCTAAAGAACAACTTGAAAATGCCAGATCTGAAAATAAACAATTAATCGAACAACTGAAAGCTGTAGAAAATAAATATGCTAGAGAAGTTACTTTACATTCAGTTGATTTGCAGTCCCTTACGACAATGAAAGATAATCTTGAACAAACACTTAGTGAAATTAATACTCTACAGAATGACAGGGAAAATGCTATTAGCAGTTTAGAACAGTTTAAATCTGATTGGGAAAAACAGGAGATACTCTTCAAAAATGAAAAAATCGAGTTAGAAACCAGATTTAATGATATGGAGGCCCAAAATAGTTTGTTACATGACCAGATTCAAGCTCTTAATACACAACTTGGAATAATACAGGCTCAAGCCACTGACTCTCAGAACACATCTATGGGTGATAGTTCTTTCAATAGATCTTTCACTGAAGATGAAGTTAAGTCTTCAGAACAGTTATTGAAGATAATTAAATATCTTAGACAAGAAAAAGATATTGCTGTGAGTAAAGCAGATATTATCGATGCCGAATATTCTAGACTAAAATCTCAATTCGAAATGCTCAAGAAACAGAGCGAAGAGGCCAAATCAGTTCTTGAAACGGAACGACAAAAAACTGAAATTTCAGTTGTATCGGCAGCTAAACATGCTGAAGTTTTGCGCAAACTTGAAACACTCAATGCCATTACTGATAGTAACAGGACATTAAGACAAGAGCGTGATACTCTTGTTGCACAAATTACAGATTTGCGATCGCGCGCGGAGACTTTCGAGACGGAAGTTGAGCCCTTACAAGAGAAGAACAGAGAATTAACAACAAAAGCAGATCAATTACAAAGTGAAAACATTTCGCTTAGAGCTGAATGTACTAGATGGAGACAAAGAGCTAATATGCTTATAGAAAAAACCAATAGAACCAGCCCAGAAGATTGGAAGAAACTGCAAGCAGAACGCGAAACTCTTGCTAAACATTTGACTATCGAAAGAGCCAATGTTACTAAATTAACTGATGACGTTAACAATTTGAAGCAAGATAAGAGCAAACTTGAAGAGCAATTGAAGGCTTTACGAAACCAGAATAATAATCAAGCAGAGGAACTAGCCAGACTGCGGGAAGAAGTCACAAACTTACAAACACAAGTCACACAACTTACGAATACAGTGGACCAACAGAGTGCCGAAATAATTAAATACAGAGAAGAAAATCGAGTACTCACTGAAGATACTGCTGCAAAAGACGTTAACTTAACAGAACTGAAAAATAATCTAGCTCAAGTAAGAAAGATCGCTAAGAAATATAAAATTCAATGCGAAGATCAAAATAAAGAAATTGATAACTTTAAACAACAGCAACAGCAGCATGAAAGTGACCAACTGTCAAGTACTGAGAAACAAGAACAGTTAGAAACTCAACGTTCGGAATTAGAAGAGAGAGTGACTCAATTAGAAAATACCCACAAAGAAGCTGTTGAGCAGTTGAATCAAGAAATTTCATCCACAACTGAGCAGATCGACAACTACAAGAAAGAGATAGAAAATTTGAAACAAACTAGCCAAGAAAAGGAAGAAAGATTTAAAACGTTATTTAAGAATGCAAAAGAAAGAATAATGAGTCTGACAGAGCAAAACATAGGTCTAAAAGAAGAACTTAGAAGACAAGATAATCCTGTAAGATCTGATGGAGGTGAACCATCAAACAAAGATTCTAACAGAAATACAGAACTTTTAGAGAAAATCGCTGCATTGGAAAGAGAAAGGGATGATATTTTAGAAGAGCGTCAACAAGAACAAGACAGACATGCAACCGAATTGGAAACCTTAAATCAGAGGATTCTTCAGCTGCAAAGACAGTCTGGTCACCAACAAGGTTCAAAACCAAGTACAAGTTCTAGCTCTTCTGAAAAGTCTTCCACAGAGAGGCCTACTGCTGACATTAAACCAATGGCAGGTTCGTTTTTTATATTTTAATTAATTTTGTAGTATAGTATTAAATGTTTGTTTTTAAGGGCATTCTACAAATACTCAAACCCAATCGGTTCCAATTCAACCATGGAGAAGTGGTGGTGAACCACCACTTGCAAGTATAAGGCCAATGTCTGCCCAGTTAAGAACTGTTGCAGTGTTGCCTACTAGTCAAAGTCCCAGTGCTGTTATGGTGCCTCCACAGCAACAAGTAAGCAAATCATTTTTTTTGTGAAACATTTGTACATACTTCCTTATGTCTTTATTATATTTTTTACACATTTCTTTTTATTATTATTTATGGGCATTTAATATATCTGCGCAAAATAAATTAGAGTTCATTATCTAAAATTTAACTCTAAGCGCACAATACTAGTTATGTTAGATTTCATGATTTAATGATTACTTTGCTTAATTATATAGGATTTTCTATTAATGCTTCTTCTTTAGTGGGAAATTACCTAAAGTACTAAAGACTATCATTAAGGCCAGGTGTCCCATAATGCTCCATACTTGGACCAATATTTAGTATATTTACTTCTCATCTCTTAGACAAAATACCCAACTGTGGTTTCCATGTGTACGCTGACGGACACTCAATTGTACTACACTGCCCTCGTAAGCCAAAAAGCGGTATCAAAAAAACGACTTTTTTTATTTTTTAACACATCAGATAGCTTAAAAAATTCCGCATTGGATGAACTAAGAAAAATAACAAAATCTCACTCAGTCCATTAAAACAAAACTAAAACAATATACAGATCTCAACTTATATTTAGGCTTAGGGGTATGCCATTATCACTATGCTAAATGGCTGCATATCCATGTACGACACAAGAACTTTAAAAGTATTATTCAATAACAACTAATTTAAATTAACGCAGTGGTCTAAATTATTTTTTTTACATAGTGATAACGCAAAAATAACTTTTAAAAAATGTGTTTTTTCTCCAAACTCGCTTCAACTCAGACACCGCTTTTTGGCTTGGCAGTACAGTTTTGGATCACATGAAGTGGACAATTCTTGCATTAATATAAATAATAATTTAAAAAGATTTATCGATTGTGCAACTGTTCATTGCCTACTTATTAATCTAAGTTTAAATTTATGTTATTTGGTAACAAAAGTTATAGATTAACTACTAAATTCAATAAATATTATTACATATCGTCGGCTTAACATGTAATTGCTGTAAGTCTCAAAATATACATTTTATAGGATACTGAAAAACAGTTTCTTACAAATTTTAAATTTATAAGAACCATTATATATAGCTAATCAAGTTCAAAGTGGCGTAAACGCATCACCGGTCAAATAGTAGTTTAGCCCAGAAATATATTTTCAAGTACAGACTTGCATACTCTTTATTCATCTATCCTTATTTATCATTGGAAATAAAGTATTTCCTGTACTTTAATATACCGACGGAAAGAGTGAAATGCTGAGATGGACAAATTTTATAACTCCGCCCAAGTCTTAGATACTCACTATCATACATTTCCTGAAAAATAGCTAACAGATATTGGGGTCTATTCTGTAACAATTCCTTTATATTTAACGGCCTTTAAAAATATTGGCGGCCTATAAAAATATGTTCGTATTCGTTAATTTACTTCTGTCATTATTTAAACAGATTTCTTTAAGATAGTTCTCTAATGTATTTTAAAGATCCGTTTAAATAATGACAGAAGTAAAGAAGAAAATATTTTTAAAGGCCGTTAAATATAAAGGAATCGTTACAGAATAGACCCCATAATAGACAAAAAAAAAGGTTGTTCAAGTACCACAACCAAATGTTGTAGCCAAGTATAATATATACATGGGCGGTGTTGACCTTCACAACAATGGAGTAGCCAATTATAGAATAAATATTAAAAGAAAAAAATGGTGTTGGCCCTTATTTACAAACGCAATAGACAACATTATAGGAAATTCATGAAAAATTTATAACATTACACAGGTTAAATAAATGTCGCAGCTAGAATTTAGCTCATACATTGTTTTGTGATTACTGAAAGTAGAAATACAGCAAACAAAAAAATTAGCAAATCCGTTAGATAAACTACCAAGTGAAATCCCACTAGATAAACACAGTAGCCATACTCCACAGAAGACTGAAATACAAAGAATAAGTCTGTTATAGCAAAACAATTTATACATGAGGAAAATGTAACAATTACCTTCTCATTGGCTGCTCCCAAATGTATCATAAGTAGTTCATAGCATTGACCTGTGATGCGTTTACGCAACACCCTGTTTTTGTAAAGTATATGTTTTAATTTTTTTTTGTTAATTTTTTATTCTAATGAAGGTATTTTAATTTTATAAAAAATTAATAATTTTTTTATTTCTTTTATGGGTTGATTATTAATGTGTTAATTAATTGGTGGTATAACTACAGTGTATTCCATTTAATAAATTGAGAAAATCGTAACTTTGAATTTTGACACACCCTATATCATAGCAAATGAATGAGGTCTATTAAAATTGTTTGTCGAAGTAAAAACAGTCAAATAATATATGTGGTGTGTTGCTTTAAAAACGTATAAGTTTGGTCAGCCCCTCGTTTATTAACCATCCTGTATATTTAAGAATAATTGTTAAATATGGTAATACAACTTTCATATTAAAGATTTCTTTGTATTTACAATAATTAAAACATTTATCTATCAGTTTGCACTGATGGGACACTCTGTATATGTATAATTGGCTAACCTGTTGCTAGCGTTGAATAAGTAAATTTGTAAGTAATTTAGTGCTAAAATAATATACAGTGTTGTATTTGAAAAAAAATTAGTAAATTGAACTTCAAATTAGCTATATTTAAGACATGTCGCCACTAATCGTTAGCTTGGTATCTTATAAGTATGTATTTTAAATTTAAACAATATTGAAATCATCGCTAAGCTACATACATTATGATAATTTGGAATCTGCATCATTCTCTAATTTCACAGAAAATTAATTGCTTGGCAATCCTGTAATTTTTTTTAAAAACATTCTATTGTTGTATACAGTATTACATTCACATGTACGAATCAAGAAAAGTTCCCGTTGTGCTGTGTTGAGTGTATTGTCGATCATGTCCTTGCAACAAATGCAAAGTGTAATGCCGGTGTACTGTCAGTACAATAAAATGTACATTAAAATGTGTAGCATATTTTGTATGACGCATACATGTGGTTTTCATCTCTACCCCACATCATTACTGATCCTCCTCCAAAATGGCGAGTCTCTTGTACTATGTTTTCCTGCAATCTGTAAACTCGATGCCTCCATCAAGACCATCGAAAACGAGACTCATTCTGTACAGTCCATTTTTTATGTTCCGCGAAAAAATGCTAGATGATTTATACAGTGTTATCTTATGATTTCTGGTACCTTTGCTGACTATCCTCAATCCCATCTTTTTAAGCGATTTTTAATTGTTTGAGTTGAAATAGGCCTATCTATACAGGGTGTCCCAAAACTAGACGATCATATTTTAAAAGCGTTATCTACATCCTAAAATAGTAAGAGTTTATATAAACATAGGTCCGAAAACATTTAGTTTCCGAGATACAGGGTGTTAGAAGTGAAGTCCTGATGATACATTTTTGTAAATATTTTCTAAACTTTTAGAGAAGTGAAATTTGGTACAAATGCTAAACTTTTTACGCTCTATTTAATGGACTAAACGCCAGTTTTTGATCATCTTCATAGGTGGGTAAATTAAGGGAGGGGCTTAGGGTTAAATTGTCCCAAGTTTTTTTTGCTGACTGTTTTTAACATTTTTGACTACAAAGTTTGGAGAACCAATATTTTCTTTATAATAAAGCTACTTTTGTTGCATGTCGCTAGGACGCACCATTTTCAAGAGAAAAGCATTTGAAAATTTCATGGTAAGTTGATGTTATCTTATTCGAAAGTGTAAACAATAATTAGTAGGCCTGTGGTATCAGAAAGTTTTTTTTTTAACTTTGGAAATCCGGTGACTAACGAAATTTTAGAAAATATTTACAAAAATGTGCCATCAGGACTTCACTTGTAACATTGTAACACCCTGTATCTCGAAAACAAAACGTTTTCGGACCTATGTTTATATGAATTTTTATTTCTATTTTAGGATGTAAATTACGCTGTTTAAATATGACGGTCTAATTTCGGGACACCCTGTATACTGTCGCAGTGGATTTTCTATTGAATTTCTTAATAAAAGGCGATCCTGGCGAGCAGTTGTAATGCGGGTCCATATAACCTCAGTGTTTCGTCATATCATGAAATCACAAATTGGTTTATGTGAAGTTCATTGGAATTTTGTTGTTGTTGAACTCCATCTTTAATACGCGTAATTACAATGGCTGCTTGAAAATTATTCAACAATCTTCTTTGCATCCCCCTCTCATAATTATTAATACCGAAAAATAAAATTCTTTACTTTATTGGTAAATTTAAGAATAGAAATATGACATTTCACCAAATTCGATATTTATTTATGCCTAACTGTAAAAAACTAATTGAGTCAGAAATGGTCATTATGTTTATTAGTAAAACATATGTTTCTATAGGTTGTTTTGGTTTTTGCCAGTTTTGATTTAAATTATTTAAACATTTAGGGTGATACTTAATTTAATATGCGAAGTATATTTATTAAATTATTCCATTTAAGGTTCACACAACAGGCTCCAGTTCCATAGAAGCCCTATCGAGCAGCCCTACAAGTTCGCATACTGAATATGTTCCAGCAACTAGTTCTGCAAGTCCGGCCATGTTAGGTCCCCGTCAAGTTGCAGTGCCACCTACCCAATCTTCCCAGGATACAGAAGATGAAGAGAGTAACATGCAAGTTCAAGCAGCTCCTCAAGCTCAAGCTGTAGCTCTGGTACTACCAAGAGTAGAACCTCCTAGTGGTAGTAGTGGCCCTACACAAGAGCAAGGCACAAGTAGCAGTAGTTCTAATACTGTTACCACGACGCAGGCAGGTCACAAAAGACAACGAGATGCTGACATGGATAGTTCTCAATCTGATGATCAAAGTAAAACTTTGCAACAGACTAAAAGAACTAGAGTTCAGGTGAGTTAGGAAATTAAAAAAATGCTTATTTTTATTAGTAGTTTCTTTGACATCTATACTACCGTGTTAATTCAAATTGCCGTAACTGTTTAATACTTGAACGTGAGGAAAATCGATTTTTCAAGAAAAATAACTTACGCCCAAATTTCTAAGCGTTATATCTCGGGTTTTATAGAAGATACATCTATGAAAGTTATAGAGATGAACAAAAAATTCGTTGTTGTCATGTGTAGTGGCCATATCTTTATTTCAAGGAAAATTGTAGTTACGGCCATTTGAATGAACACGACAGTATAGCATAATTCACAAAGCATCCTTAAATATTTATGCACCTGTAACTCGTTACAGAGAGAAAGATGACCTCAAAAAAAAGTAGAGTTTGATGAGTTTTAATAACACTTGTCCATTAGTACTGCAATCAATCAGATTCAAATAAAATATTTTATATTTCCTAAAATCCTTAAACAAGGAAGTAGTCATTAATATTAAATAATATTCAGGGAACATGTAGGACTGAATTTAATATTTTTTAAAAAATCTTGATTCTCGAAGTTGGAATAGGAATTTATTGGAAATCGCATGTAATACTTCAAATCCTGGTCTAGAAATATTTGTCATTTTGAATTTTATATTTTTGATTTGTGGCGGCTTATGGCCTAGTCTTCGGCGGGATACTTTTAAAAGCTGCGACACCAAATTAGGTACTATATTTACATCAAGTCATTGATTTAGTTATTAAATTTAAAACTTAAAATATTAGTCGCTAAATCTTTCTATCTACAACGTTACCAATTTTCAGTACTAAGTAAAGTATACACATATACACAATGGCTTAATCTCTTGTGAAATTAGACAAATGGTGTATTTATATAATGAATTTGACTGATTCAAGATAAGTTATTTATTATTATTTTTTTTTGTAAAATACTGGTTTTATTATTAAAATTATTATTTAATTGTGTTATTATTAAAATTGTTTTTTAGTTATCTGAGTATTAGATTTGTACAAAAAAAAATATTGAAAAAACAAGAATAAAGCTTAAAATATAATCAATTTATAACACAAGTGAACTTCATTTTTTTAATCCATAAATTTACAGCAAAACTATTACAAAAAAGGTTTATAAATTATTATACTCAAATATTTTGATTTTATAATTTTTGCACCTGAAACTTTCAAAAATCAAAAGGTATCAAATTACATTCTATGTTATATTTCAATTGTGCTAGTTTTTGTTTCCTTATTATTTTTAAAGGTATACCTATTGTAACACAGTATTCATGATAAGTGATCCTAAAAAGATCAGGTAATAAGTTTTACAAAATTATATTCACTAGAATGAACTGTGAAAGGGTTACCTGGGAGAACACGCGTGTCAGTGGAAAGGACATTGTGGATAATTTCAGTAGTAATGACGCCACTGGTATAATGTTGGTGGTACTGACCTTCTGAGAATGACTGAGGCAGTTTTTCTACTACCGATTGGTGCAACAATATTTTAGTATTTATTGGTAGTTATTAGTCCCTCATCTGACTGCAAAACATGATATGTCATGTTTTTTCTTGCTATTTGTAGTTGGGTACAGGGAAAGGGGGCGAACAACGTTTACTATGTCCGGGTGGTGGGAGCTGTCGTGAAACGGGTCAAATTGAAAATAATATATCATATCGATGGATTTTTTGTTTGAATTAAATAATTTGATTCAAGACGTCTATAACAATAAAAAATCCCTTTTGTAAGCATTTTTTGTCGACTGGTTTTGCTACTTTCGGTGTAAGTGTAGGAATTTCCCTACATCAATATACAGTGAGACAATTTACAAACTTACAATGGGCTATATCTCACAAACGAAAGATATCAAAAAATGCTTAAAACCGTTTCTAGGATAGGAAGGGGGTACTAAAATGACAAATTTGTAGTTCAACAAAAACTTCATTAAATTTTCCGTTTAAGGCAAGGTTTCACAATTATTGATTCACCCTGTACAATTATTATTTGTACCATTGGATATCATTTTTTATAGGCTTTTCAATTATGTATCACAAGTAGGGGTGTTTGTTATTTAAATTTTTAGGTGGGTTAGTTGGGGCCTAGGGGGTTGATGGGGATGAGTTCTCTTTTATATCATTTTAGTTTCCCCTTCTTATCCTAGAAACTGTTTTAAGCATTTTTTAATATCATCTTTCGTTTGTGAGTTTTTAAATTGTCACACCGTATATTTAAAGTAAACGGAACTCAAAACTGGTTATGCGGTCGATTTTACATATGTGTGTAATGATGTAAGTTTTTTTGGCGCGTGTATTGCCGGGTTAAGAAAATATTAATTTGTCTTTACTTTACAAAATAATATCTTCTGGATAGGGTTCTATTTAGGTTTTAGGAAGAGTACCACCTAATATCCAAGCCAAGGATATCCTTGTTATTGTCTGTTATTGGAAGTTCTAGTCCTTTAAATATCAGAAACTGATAAAACCTTTCCTTTTTTTAATTCCAGTTTAAAGTTCTCTCATTCATAATGGCCAAAGCTGTTATTATTTTCAAGCATTAACTTATTCTAAAAAAGTAATTCAAGCAGTCTTCAACATTTGAGACTCATGACTAGTAGAAATTGTATTAATTTATCTAGTTCATATTCCGCATAATTGTGCATATATTTTTTCAGCAGGCAGGTACTGTTAGCGATAGTGGTCTGGATGTAGAGTATCAAGTTCCTACTAGCAGTCAAAGGGACCATGATGACGATAACGTTATTGTGGTTGAAAGTGATGAAGAAGGTGGTGCTGATGAAGGTGAAGGTGCCGACGATGATCAAGATGACCCAGATGACACTGAAGGCTATGACATGGAAGGCATGGTAAGATATAATACTTATAACCTTTCTTTGCTCAATGAATTTATTGGAATATTGTACATGTGAATAAATCCCAAAATCAAAATAACTTCGTTATGTTATGATATACATTCGATTAATATAAATTAGAATTTATAAAAACCAGATTTATTTTACGTTTCAATGCTAAGTATAATACAGTACACAAAATATACACTGTATATAATGTTCAATCAACTGTAAACGAATTATATCTAATTTCTTAACACTCTTCTTTACATGTTTTGGTGTTTTTTTTTTTAATTTTCTCTAATCCATTTCTTATATTTTTTCTGTTTTTACCATTTTCATGGTTTGCAGTTCCATAATTTTTTGCTTCTGGTTACTCTTATTGTTGCTATATCTACGTTTTCTTTAATTTCCTTTTGTGATATTTATTTTTATTTCCAGTATTTTTTTGTTGTCAATGCTCCTCCATTTTGAAAATACAGCCTAGCTATACTGCAGCTGTTTCTCTTATAGTTTACTTGTTGTTTGAACTTGGTTCAATTCACTCCAAATTAGTGTTTCTATTGTAGTCTCTTTTTGTTACACTTGATATTGTTCTGTGTAAAAAATGCTAGTGTAAAAAATGCAAACTACAATAAAATTAAATCAGTTTTAAAGACACATAATAAATAGCAAATAAAACTTGTATTTCATGCACAATTTTTATTAAAATAACATTAAGCAAAGTGCTTATTGCGACATAAAAGACATCCACCAATATCGGTTGTCATTATTTTCAATATTTAATAAATTGTTAAAATTTTGTTGATTTATTTAAATCTTTCAAGTTTAAGTTCCTTCTATTAAACCATTAACGTGACAAAAAAATGCCACTGGTTGACGATTTTTCTTTTTTTGTTTAACGAAATTAATTAAAGTATCTTCTGTTTTACCATTAAAATAAATAGCTCGTATGTTATTTGAATCCTGCTTAATTTTTGCTCGCAAATTATGAATATTTCGACTCCTTTCCCTTCTTATTTTAAACCGATCTGGAAGTTTCTTTTGTCGACCCAATATCTTCTAGAATACTAATGGCGGCTGAACGATCAGATAGTCCATAGCGATCACAATGCAATGTCATAGTTTTAAACTTGATTCTCGTTTACCATTTCGATTTCTTATTCAACGAGGTGCTAGACTTGTATTGGTCAAAGTCATAATCGTCATCGAGTTCAGACCTAACCAAGAGAAAATGATCTAATCTGATGATTATCATTTAGACAAAACGCAGCCACAACTAAGTTGTTCATCTGATGTAGTAAATGTACAAACCGACGATGACGATTATGATTTCAACCAATACAATCCTAGTACTTCGTTAAATAAAAAATTACCATGGCAATAAGAATCAAGCTTAAAACTATGACTGCATTGTGATCGTGCAGCTGCTAAGAGTATTCTAAAAGATATTGGATTGGTAACTGAAACAAATACTTCCAAAGTAGTAGATCGGTATAAAATAATGGAAAGGGAGAAATTTATAGTAGAAAACAGGGTACTTTAATTATCGAAAAAATTGAATCAAAGCAGTTTTGTCGAACAAAAAAGAAGAATATTATTCCATCATTCATTAACTTTTCCGCCATTTGTTTCAATATTTAGATGGGGTAAAGACTGGCCCAAGATCATTTAGTAGACTAATTGAGCAGAATTACGAAAAAATTAAAAATGTACAATTTTTGCAAATATTCAGATGTTTAGCAAGATTATAAAATATACTTTAAAAGCAGTGATATATTTTTTGCAGGCTATTTAATATTAGTATTAACGTATTAGCGCAAAATATACAAACCCCCAGTTAAAAAAAAAAAAAAAAAATAAAAACTCAAATTCGTCATTTTTTAAAAACTTTCGGCGTTCTGCATGATCGGAAGATATTGTCCGATTTTGATATATGTTTTTTTTTGTTATTGTACACCTAAGGCAACTTTTCCGCGGTACCTATAGCGAATCGAAAATATTAATTTGAAATTTTTCACACCACCACCATTGTATTGTTACTCTAAAGTGGCAAAATCCAAATATTTACCAGTGAATCAGTTCCTGCCACCTACCAGTGCCAATAATATGCCTAACTGGTTACATACGGAGGCAAAAAGGTCCTAGAATAGTTCCAGTGACCGTCACTTGGAACTTTAAAGTATTCTAGTTTTATCATCTAGTGCAGGCCTGCACAACTCAAATTTTCAAAGGGCCACTTTAACAAAACCGTAGTTGTATGAGGGCCGCCAAGAGCGGATGTAAATCCAGTGTGTTGGGGGGGATTTGTTAGAAGAAACTTCGCAGGTGCAGTGCTCAAATACATTGATCTTGATCATCAAATTATTTTCAAAAGTTGTTTTTTAAATAAAAGAAACATTGTTTATTAAGTTTTATTTAAAATATTTACATCAGAGTTTTATTCATTAAAAAATTTTATGTTTGACCACTCTAATGCGAGATATTTGTTCGTTTTTCGGATACAAGTCTATCGTAATTTGGAGTAAGGTTTGAAGTGAAAATCCTCAGGATATCTCCCAAATGTTGGTTAGTAAGGGTAGCCCTATTTGCAGTCTTATTCATATACATAATAGAAAATATCTGCTTGCAAATATAGGTACTACTAAAAAGACTTAATGGCAGTATTCATTAATTTCGGAAATTTGTCTTTATCAAGGGTTTTATAGAACTCAAGCAAATTTACTTCGCGATGTCGTACTTTATAAATATTTGAGCACTGCAGGTCCATAAGTTGCAACTGAAAATCTGCTTGCACTTCACTGGGATCAACAGAAAATGGATCTTTGATGAGTTTAAATAAAATTTTGTCTTCATTAGGGAGAAAAAAATCTTGATTCAACCTCTTCTTTAAGTGCAGCAATGCTGGCAGCAAATTGTTTTGAATAAGTTGATTTATTAGCCAAAATGTTCTTTTGGCATATATGAAAATGAACAAAATCTGCTTTAGGCAACTGTTCATAAAAAGATAAGTTTTAGACAAAATGATTTGACTGCGTTATACATTTCGAACACCATTTTTTGTTTTATTTTAGTTATTTATTTTGCCCTTTCACAATATTTACAATTTTCTTACAAATTTACAATGTGAAATCTAAAATAATTCAGATTTAAAACAGTTATACATGCCTTATGGAAATAGTATTAATAAAAACAAAAATAAAGATTAAATGAACAAGATATGTATAGATGAATCCATGAAGAAAACATAGACTGTAGAAAATTGTAATAAAGATGAAAAGTAGTAAAACTAGTGGAAAGAACAAATGAAAATCGTCCAGAGTTAAACACCTAAGTGATTGAACACTTGTGTTGTGCCATTCTAAACGATATACTGTGTTGTATTACATTAAATATAAATTAAACATGTAAGAGCAAATATAGAGTAATTTGATAAATACTTTTTTTGTTATTATTTTAGTTATTATTTTAGTGCCTACCTACATATTCTATTCTATACATTTATTTTATTGTTTAATTTTTTATTCTAGAATTTTTACAAATTCAATATAATTATGAAAGATAAAATTTCTAGATACAGGGTAAAAACGTTTAAATCTAGTGATGAGCCTAATATCTAACGGTAATAAATTGCATGCTTTTGGCAAAGTATGAATAAAAAAATCTATGACTAATATTTTTTCTAAATCTTCGGGTGGTTAGGAATTCATTGGCAGTACTGCAGGTTTAGTATACAGAGGGTAAACTATTCTGGAAGAAATTGTTTTTAAAAGCATATATACATAAGCTGTGAAAATAAAGTGATCGAATATTGCAAATATCCTCTGTATATAATAAGTTTGTGTGATATCGTCTTTGTTTCTTGAGTATAATTTTTAAAATGTAATTTTGCGTAATATTTAGTTTCTGTAATGAGTTCCTGTACAATCATCCCCATATAAAGATTCCATAACGGAAGAGTGATTCAGCTAAAGACTTGTAAATTAGTAATAACAATTTTCTCAAAAGAAACTCTCGTAGTTGATAGAATTTGTAGATAAGCTTCCTCACCTTTCTCGTCAGATAATCTATATGGTTACCCCATTTTAGATTTTTATCAATAATTATGCCCAAGTACTTGACTTCGTTTGTCTCTTTAATTTCATCTTGCATACCTGTGATTTTTATTCTAGTGAAGTCTGGTCTATTAGTTTCAGTTAAAGTAAAGGTGAGATAATTTGTTTTCTTTGCATTTAACGAAAGTTGATACTCATTGAGCTACCTTTTAACTATTCCAATACCCAGTTGAACAGCAACTTTAGTTTCAGCCCATGAATTTTCACGAAATATTATAACTGAAGCGTCCGCGTAGGATACAATAGTTGCCTCCTTTAATAACGATAAAAGAGTCTTGATATATGGCAAAAATAGAACTGGGCCGAGGACGGTACCCTGAGGCACCCCTATGATTACAATCTCAGGTACACTTATCGTATCGTTAACTTTAACGCATTATTCCCGATTTGTGAGGTAACTCTTAAAAACATCCAACACTATGCCACGAACGCCATAACATTCTAGAGTATTAAGGAGCTTTTCGTGGTTGACCGTGTCAAACGCTTTAGAGAGATCCAGAAAAACTGCTATACATTTTTTATTGTCATCTAAACCCTCTGTAATGTCCTTAATAACTGAGCACATAGCATCACTGGTTGCTTTGCCAGAGCGAAACCCAAACTGCTGTTTATGTAATATATTATTGTGATCAAAAAATTTCACTAATTGAGTTTTCAGAAACTTTTCAAAAATCTTTCCAAAATTATTTATTACACTAATTGGTCTATAGTTTGAAATTTTTGATTTATCTCCAGATTTATGAATTGGTATAATTATAAAATCTATAATTATACCAATTCATAATAAATAATAAATTGTCTGGGGACAAGACTGTTCAAAAATATTAAGTTTATTACATGTTTAAGCGGTTTTAGGATGTATTGATGATTGTTTTTTATAATGTCGGCTGTTATTTCATCAATACCTGGTGACCACCATATTTTTTCCTTGAAGAGTTTTGTTCAGTTCATTAATATGGTCCATAATATCTGTGATAAAGTACAAGTCAGCTTGCCAATCGTCGTCTTGAATGTCTTCGAATATTTTGTTATTTTCTTACAAAAACTATATTATTTCAGTTTCCAGTGCAACAAATCTTTGAGCATCTTCCCACAGCTTAGCCATCTAACGTTGGTGTGATAAATTAAATCGTCATACTCTGCTCCTACTTCCTATAGAAATGTTTGAAAAGCACGGTGCCTTTTTCCAACCATAGAAGGAGCACCATCTGTACAGTACCAGATAGCTTTTCCCAAGAAAGATTTAATTTATTAATAGAGTTTATGACTTCCTTGGCAACTTCTTGCCCTGTAGTTCGGCCTTTCATTGGACAAATACCAGCGAGTTCCTCAAAAATGTCAAAATCTTCTGTAACACCCCGTATGAAAACTAAAAGTTGAGCAGTGTCCTTGATATCAGTACTCTCGTCAATGGCAATAGAAAAATATTTAATTTTAGTAGCCTTTTGTCTAAGTTGCTCAAAAAGATCAGACGATATATCAGAAATTCGCCTTTGTACAGTCATACGTGAAAGTGAAATATTTTCGATCGCTTGTTTCTTCTCAGGACAAATTTCATCCATAGTTATCAACATACATGTTTTTATAAAATCTCCATCAGTGAACGGATGGCATATAGCTACAATTTCTCGACATATTTTGTAGCTTACCATAGTTCCATTATCAGCTTGCTGACTAAAACTTTGAAACGTGTTTTGCTCTCCAGTTAAGTTTGTTTTTAATTGCCTGATTTTTAAATTCTTCTCATTTTCGTCCAATCCAGATGACTGCGAATGTTATGTTTCAAGATGCCGCCGCATATTATATTCTTTTGCCACTGAAATGGTTTCTCGACACACAAAACAAATGTATTTGTTTTTAAATTCAATAAAAAGAAATTATTTGTCCAATCTGGGTTAAATAAATATCCTTCCTTCTGAATCGATCTTTCTTTTCTGTCGTGATGCCATTACTAAGACTAAAAACAATAATAATTATTAATTCATAAAATAAATGCGAATTTCTCGCAAAATAAAACCTACCTTAATCAAAAATAGAGGTTGCACCAGGAACACACAGTAAAATGCGTAATAATATAATTAATTTATAAAAGCACGAGATCGCCTTTTGCCAAATACTGCTGCGAACGCGAGTAAAAGCTTGTTAGATATTGGCGATTCAAATTAATTTTCGCGCGCCTGTCATTTGTCACCTATAAGTAGGATGTTTGTTTATTTACATGTTTTTGTTTTGGGCGGATTTTGTATTTGTGATTTTTTTAACTGTTTTTAGGTAATATTCTCATTGAAATAGTGTTTTTGAGTTTCATTTAGTGTTAATTTAAGTCTTGTGCTTTCGTCATAAATATAATATTTATCATGTGTATGACTTATTTGTTGGAAATATTCATTAGTTGCTACAAGAACATCTAGAAATATGTATTCACTAAACCCAGGACATGTTTTATTATGTGGTTTAAAGGACATTTCAGGTACCACACGTTTATTATTGATGAACTTATTTAAAACTCTTACTAGACTTTTATATTATGAAGTGAATCATGTAGTACTTACTTTGTATACATGTAAATGGTAATAAAACCGTCACAAATCAGATTACAGTTTGATTCTAAACAAAGTTTTGTAAAATTTCAATATTGTGAATTTGTAGATATCCATTTATCGTAAAAAACAAAATTTTACGACTTGCACTTGGAAAATATTGAATACTTCAGTTTTGATTTTGACATTAACACCATATAGATTGAAATTTTCTGGGGACTTTTTTGCAGATTTCATTTTTAATATAAACGCTATCACATACTATAAGAAATAAACAAATTTAAAGCTAAAAAGTAAGAAATAACTCGAATTGTAATTGATACAAATTAAAATGTAAACAATGAACACGAACGCCATGTTGCCAAATGATGAACTGATTTTAATACATTATTAATAAATGAACTGAAATTTAAAAAAAATCAATATAATAAATCGGTTTTATAAAAAAATCCTTAAATAAATATAGAGTATAATTACATATTACCACACATAAATTTTGATTTTTAAATAAAAGGTCTTATCCACTTCTTTAAGAGCTAAAATCCGACGACATAGCGAAGTTTTGCTACTTTTGGCAACACTGAATTATATCCTACTTATACGGACCTTCTACAAATTTCCTCCAGAGGGCGTATCACTTAGCTTGAATCGCGAATAGCACGTGAAGTACAGAATCGCGATGTATGTTCGAAAATTACAGGTCTGAATTCAGTCGCCGACCTATATAATGAATTTATTGTACCAGCGTGAAACATATATGATTTGATATTTGATAATTTTATAATTCTGCCGAGCAAAAACCAAAAAAAAGTTTGCAGGCTAAATGCAAGTTTGTTACTGAAAAATGTTGACGTCGGCAGGCCAAACTGGTCAACGGCCAGCGGGTCGCCAAAACGGCCATGGCGGGCCGCATGCGGGCCGTATGTTGTGCAGGGCTGCTCTAGTGGATTAGAAAATATGGCGTGACAGAAGATAAAGTTTTAGACTTTGAAACTGTTCGTTTAAAAAAAAATACATTGTCATTGTGATATAAAGGATCTTTTATTTCCTAGCCTTCATTCTTGTTTTTTTTTTAAAGGAGCAAGATAATTATGAAGACGCTGATTGTCCTGACGTTGAGGACGATGAAGAAGAGGCGGGCAATGAGGTTGAAGTGATGGACGATTCTAGTGAAGTGCCAAATCAGAGTGAGAGGTCAGTTCATGATAATGTAGAGGAAGAAAATTCAGAACAACCCCAATCAGAAGCAATTAGTAGTGGAACTGATGGTAAGTTATAGAGTATATAAACGACGTGTACAGCAACGTTTGATGTATCACTTTACCATGTTTTTTTTTAAACTTATAAAAATGTTTAATTTATTTCTGTATTGCGATTAATAGTGTATTGTGTACCTACTAATGGTGATTGGATCGTATCTTTTGCCACAATTATTTTTAATTTATTAGGTGGACATAATTTCATATAAAATACTTCTAAATTAATAATTCCTAAGGTCTAATTACTATTATAGTTAAGTCTGTTTTTAATATCAGGCGCAAGTATAAGTAGTGCTGTAACAATATCTCAAGTTTCAACATCTATCTCGATGACGGTACCATCTCTTTCCCGTTCAAGACCTATAGCTCCTTTACCGTCTAGGCAACAACAATCCCATTTATTACCTTTCGGGCATGGTCTTGAAGAAATAGGAGATGACGGCATAGTGCCATCTACACCTACTTTATATGTTCCTCGACGTTCAGACGGTTTTGGGGAAGCGGTGAGTTGGAATTATTGATAAAGGAGTACCTTTATTACATAATAGATGTAGTTATTTTTTTAAACGCTACAAGTTTTCTATTGAAAAATGAATTAATACTCGTAATTCTATTTTTGACTTTAGTTTGTTGCTAACAGGCCAACAGGTATTTTTTCTGTGTCTATTTTTCAAGAATTTCTTTTAATAAAGAACAAAAATTATCTCGATCCAAGTTTTAATTTGCTTACATACAGGGTTTTTAGAGTCAAATATACATTAAATGTTGAAAATGTGGGATACTTAGATGATTTGAAATAATTTATTATTAATGGGTCTATCTTATTTAATTATTAAGGGTCTATTTATACTCCTTTATTATTAGTATTATGATTAAGCATTAAATGTGTAAGAGGCCAGTTATTTTCTTAGAATATTTTTTAAGATATTTGAGTTTTAAACATGTTTTTATTAAGATTTTTAATAGTTAATTTTATTTAAAAATATTATTATTCAAAAATAGTTTTAATTAAGGACATTTTAACGGATTTACGTCTCAAATTTATAACAGATAAAAAGAAGCAGAAATTTGATACAAATCAGACAGAAAAATTGTATACAGCCTATGATTTGTACCAAAATATTATCGTTTTCGAGCTTGTTGGAACAAATCTATAAACAACATAATCATGTGTGTATTGTTAATTATCATTATCCGTTGTCTATTAAAAACAAAGGCCAAATATATCATTTATCTATTTGACAGAAAAGAAGAAATTTAATATTTAACTTAAAAGTTGAACCTGTCAATTATTAAGCATAAATATTAATGCTAATACTAATCATAAATCGAGTATAAATGTACCCATTACATTGTGAAGGTTTAACTTAATCCTTAATCATAATACTAATGCAAATACTAATAATAAGGGAGTATAAATAGATCCTTAGTGTTTTATGAATTTCGCCTAATTTTTTATTTGGCGAAAACCGAACAAGACAGCATAAAAATTTCAAATTTGGTATATACAGTTTCCTCAATATATTAAACATAATGCTATAGAAATCAAAATTTAGACCTGGCTTAACAAAATTTAGCCATTTCTTTCCGCTTCAAAAGCAACAGCAGGTATTGCAACATTTTGAGAATATGTGAATTTAGTTAAGAGTCTTTTCATATTTGAGCATTTTGATTTAGACAACTTAATTTTTTTTTAAATTAGTTTTTTTTTTTTAAATTGTCCACTATAGAATTTTAGAAAATATTAATGGTAAAATGACAACAGTCTTTGTTTTTATTAAGTACTTTTCAAATATCTTATTGCAAGAATGTAATTTATTATACTCTTCACACAGTAGTTTGTAAGAGTATTATAGGTTTACTTTCGAGAAACCAAAATTTGTAATATTGATCCAAATTTAAAATTTTTTGTACCAAAATTTTTCTTATCAAATTTTAAAATGTCTGTCCGTACGTCCGAGGTTACGTTTTCGTCCGCACCATAAGTCAATGATAAAAAAAGTCGAAACCGAAAAGCAATATCAACATGAAATTTTTGTAAAAATACAAAGGAATGAAGCCTATTGATTATAAATAATCTGTAGAAAAATGGGTGATTAAGTGATTTGCAAGTTAAAAAAAAAAAATGATATAAATCAAGATCTATAATGAATGGCACGATGTCTATTGATTTTGAAAAAAATCTGAATAAAAATTGTGCCTATGAAAACATATTAACTATCTGACACTAGTCATAAAAAGCTGGAGTTCTCTAAACTTATTATTTTAATAAAAAGTTATCATTTGGCGCTTGGTTCTTTTTAAATAAGCATAGTCCAGATATGCTAGACCTATCAATATTGGGTGATTTTTAACCGAGTCGAGTGTCCCAGACCCAGTTAATGTATGTACATTTCACTCTGAAATACACTGTATGCAGGGCGTTTCCGAATTCGACTCATAAGGATTATTCATTTTAATAAATGATCAAAAATTTAAATTTTTAAAGGAATCTTTTCTCAATGTATTTTTATACTGGATTGTATCAGTGACATTCTAGTACGGTAAAAGGTAATATTTCATAATACCGAATTTGTACACCTGTCTTAATATTAACAAAACATTTTTTCGAATTCATTATTTAATTTAATCCTTTGGTTGTCATTATTTTATAGGTTATTCGTTTTTTGCATAAACTTAAACAAGGAATTTAAAAAGAAAATGTTTTGTCTATTTTAAGTTAGTTGCCTAAAACATTTGGCATCAACTTTTTTACTTACTGTACTTACATAATTTGAAAGATTTGCAACGCCTCAGTTATTTTGTTTTGCTTTGTTCTTGTTCTTAATTCTTGTAGCGTTGATAAAATCTACATAGTCAATTTACAATAGGCGTTGGTTTCGCTTACATATTCTGTCACATTATTCATAGGTGAGTTCGCCCCATGTACCGACAAGTGGCAGATTCACTTTTAACGAATCGACGATAGCCCCTAACGTCGCCGGATCCAGCGGGATCGAAAACGTTCCCGAACAGACGCTCATGGAGCCAGGAAACGACGAAAATAGTATGAAAAACACGAGTTGATCCTAAAATTTTTAATAATGCGTTTTATTGTTGCAGGTACGGGCAGGAGTGTTCCAACTACGCCGTTGCAAAGCTCACCTCAAGAGGGAATCCCCGGTAATGAGGAGCAGGGTGCAAGCCACACAACACAGTCAGACGGTGAGTGAATTAAAAATAGTAGTTTGTGCAACATGAGGGGATATGATGGCCATACCGCACGGAGATGAAATTTGAGCACGACGCTGTAGGCGGAGTGTTCAATCGTCTTAATTGCGATATGGACAACCCACTCGAGTTGTACAGTATATTTTTTCTACGACCCACTAACAAAAATCTACAAATATTAAAAATTATTTTAGGTTATTAATATAAAATAATTAATTTAAAAATACTTTATGACTTTTACTAATTTATAAAATATAATAAAAAAAAAATTAAAAAAATAATTTAATTTTCTCCATCGGAGAGTTGAACTCAAGTCTTCCGTATGGAAGGCAAGAACCCTGACCATAGGACCTTCTACGCGTTTATTTTTTTTTGCTTTAATACTCGTAATTAAATTACTTCATATAGTTTTATTCAAATCAACAAATTGTTTATAATTATAGACGAAATAAAAATATAAATTCTATTATGCGAAAAATGTTTAATGCTCGTAATTGAATTGACTTCATGGAGTTTTATTAAAATTAACAAATTAATTATAATTATAGTATAAATAAAAATAGAAATGCTATTATTTATCGATTCTACACAAGAATAACTCAGTTTAATCTGAATAACTAAAAAATATACTGACAATTAGACAGAATTTTAAAAATAAGCATTCGGTTGATCAAAACATGAACTGTGATTGGTGGATTTTATTTTTGCAGTGTTCTCACTACCCAGAATGGATATAAAATATATTCGTTCCGTTGCAGGCAATAGCATATTTTTTCGTATTGTAATCTGTGTGTAGATAAGCTAATATCCATGTGGGTGTAGAAAAAAAATTTCTACAATTTGACTACCACATAGAACATAAAAAAATGGTTTAGAATAAAATATGAGAAAAATATTTAGTCTATCGACAAATCTGCATAAAATAGATTTATTTATTCTGGGAAGTGCAGGTGTCTATAAGGCTAGCAATAGAATTATTGCAAACAATTCCAGAAATCTTTAACTATAAATTCCAGTCTATTTGGGGATTTGAAACAGGTTGCAGGAATTTTACCAAATAAAACAAACATTTGTTTCATAAACTGTGGCTCCAAGGTAATGGTTTTATAATCTGTTTATATAATAATAATAATAATAATAATAAATTCCAGATAATAATAACCACAAAGAGTAAAATTTTGTGATCTTGAATTTAACTTATGAGAGGGATAGCCGGAATAATACACTAAGAAAAATAATAATGGAGCGTAATAAATGCTATACACTGATAAAAAATGTATTAAAATAAAAATAATATTTTACCTTACTTGAAGGGCAAGGGGAAAACAGACGATGTTACTTATTGAGAAAATTGAGTTTATAATTAATATTATTACCAAATCTTATGTTACACTCTTAGAAATAAATAAAACTACACTAGTGGAAAAAATTAAGGGATCAAAAATTTTTTTTCGATATTTTGCGATTTTTCGAGTGGCTGTATCTTTGGTAAAAATAGTCGTACATGAATGAAAAAAAAAAAAAGCAATTTGAAGCTTGAAGTGTCTAGTTTATAGATCTTGCGATAAAAAAAATTTCCAACCAACAATTCGCACAAAATCCTGATGAACATCGCGATCCTTCAATTTCTTCAAAAATTCACTCGCATGAAACAATGAAACGGCTTGATGGATCAGGTTGAAATTTTGTAGGGCTTTCGGGGGAACAATGGCCTGTAAGATGCACACTCAACATTTTTCATTTTCCCAATATTCTGAATGTGGCACGTGATTTTCTAAAAAAACCTCAAGAAGACCTGTTTTCCGAAATTCTTCAAAGTCATGCTAGGGATTTTTTTTGATCCCTTAATTTTTTCCACTAGTGTACACGTTAATATTTTAAACGTTTCATTATTATATTCAGGTTAAAAAAAATAAACTTCACATATAACTTGTTAAAAGAGAATGATATCAATTTTAAAACTAAACTAAAATAAAACGATTTTTACCTATATAAATAAAAATGTTTCATAAAAGTCGTTAGTATTTGGGTGGTAAAAACGTTTTAGTATTTAGCCTGGACAACGTCGGTTTTTTCCATTAATGCGCGGACAACGTCCGTTTTTAACAATTATGATTATTTTTAAATGTCTTATTCTGACCTCGTCTGTTTTATTCGCTTACAATTTAGCATGTGTTTGGGACTCTGGTATCACCAACATAACAAGTTGACTCCTTAAAAATTCCTATAAAATGGACATCGTTGATTTTTTCCCCTTGCCATTTACTTATCATGCATAACATTTATATAATAAAATATTGGTTTTTATTACAGTAGTTTCTGTCATCTTAAAACTTTTAATTTGATTTTCCAAAAATTTAAATAAAATGTTAGTCCACCTTTCCCATTATTCCACAATTTCGTATTACCCATGCGCGAAAAAAGCGCGAGACTTTTGAATCTAGTAATTTTCCATACAACTAATTTTCTCTCTCTTATCCTCGCTTTACAACTGTTGGGTTGGCTACTACAATTACCCACTGTCATCGTTACCAGAGATAAGGGACATAAAGATAGGAAACGCTCATAAGAAGCCCATGCTTAACTGCGACCAGCTCGATACAATTCTGTAACCCTTCTGTCGTTTATTTACTTGAAACACATTTTAAAACCATTAAACTGTAATGTTAGGACAGGAGACTATCTTCTATTTATTTAATGAAACCAAAGTCCAATCGAATATATATATATATATATATATATATATATATATATCATCATTTATTTTTAACTTGAATATGGGTTACATTACAAAGAATTACTGCATTCGTTCTTTCATTGAACCTTGCAGTCTATATTGGAAAAACCATCTAATTAAACAAATTACCTCATATTGCTTAGGTGTCAATACCGGTAACCTACTTAACTGCATAGTTCTTCGTTAACAATAATTAGTTACAATATTATGATTTATATTTACAAATATTAAAATTATACTTAAGCCTATTTTAAACTTAATAACTAAGGCCGGCATTACAAAACACAGATAACGAAGTCATTAGGGAATAAATATATTCATTTCTCGAAAACTATCAAAAAACCTATATTTAATGCATCATCTTTGTTTAAATAAAGATGTTGCAAACAAATTTAATAAAGTTTACTAACAAATACCTAATAAATAATAAATAATTATTTGGTATTTGATACGCCGCCTATGCCTGACTCTGTCGGAATTTTCATTCATGGACAACAGTGTTGATCATGCAGATGACTCACCTTCTCCAATATTTTGTTGGAGTATAGTCTATACAGGGTTGGCCAAACCTCTGTCGTAGTTCTATAACTCCTACTATGCAAATCTTAACGATTTATTTAATGTATACCTGTCAATGGTGGCCAATACCAAATATCCCAAAATTATTTTCTTGTGTACAGGGTGGCCCAATAGTAAATTAGGCAAATCACTTAATTTTTTTTAAATGGAATGACCCAACTTTTTTTACAATTTTAGGTACTCTATGGTCACTAGTACATACCCACAAAATATTGTTTCTAACATCCCACCCCTTTCGCAGAAAAAAAAAATTACCAAAAAATATTACATTTTCAGACGCCTATTAAAATATGCAGTGCTCTCTCGAATTTGATGTTAGAATTTAAAAAACTACGATTGTATAAAGCCAATAGACCAAAGATTTTTTTGGACCAAGTTTGAATTTTTTATTTTGTACAGGGTGGTCACAAATTAATTTCACTTTCCAAAAATTTCGAGGGAAATTTTTTAAAATTTTTCAAATGTATTACCCTGTATTTCTATTCATCAACTGAAGGAGAATTTCATACCCTTCCACTTCCCTATGTACTTTCCTATACATATCTGTCGCCGTTATAAAATAAATTCAAAAGGAAGAAAATTACGATAATAAAATTTATTTGAAATTTATCCTAAAACATAAATTTACATTTTATAAAAGATGCTCAAAATGTCTGCCATTTTCTCTAATGCATACATTTATTCGTTGGGCGAATGATCGAGAAACGTTTCTAAGCATATCAGGTGTAATGAAATGGAAAGCTTGCACTATCCTTTCTTTCATATTTTTAGGTGTTGTAGGTGGCGTAAGATAGACTAGATTTTTAATATAACCCCACAAAAAATAATAGGGTTTTGTTAAGTCAGGTGATCGAGCTGGCCATTTTTTTGGACCATTTCTTCCAATCCATCTATTTGGAAACTTTTCATCTAATTCATCTGCCACTTCGCGTAAAAAATGCGCTGCTGCCCCATCATGTTGGTACCACATTGTTAGTCTTACAGCAAGGGAAATGTTTTCAAGTAAAGTAGGAAGATGATTTGCTAAAAAATCTAAATACATCAGACCATTTAAGTTGCCTTCAAAAAAATACGGCCCAATAACATGATCCCCAATTATACCTCCCCAAACATTTACACTCCATCTTTCTTGGCAATGTGTTCTGATGATGTTAGGATTTTCCGTGGAATAATAGTGGAAATTATGTCTATTAACGAATCCGTTCTTGTGGAATGTAGATTCATCAGAAAACAGCACTCTATAAAAAAAAATGGATTTTGTTGCACTTTAGTTTGTGCCCAGTTACAAAACACCATTCTATTATCAAAATCGGTGTCTTTCAGCTCTTGATGCAATTGTATTTTATAAGGATGATATTGATGCTGTTTTAAAATCCTTCTAACGGATGTTCTACTTATACCTACTACTTCGGCAATCTTTTTTTTTGACTTACATGAGGATCTTCTATCTCTGTCAAAATTACAGATAATTGGTTATCATTATCAGTAGCACGTTTGTCAATTATTGGTTTTTTATAAGCAACATTTCCTGTTTCGGTAAATCTTTCATGTAACTTTTCAAAACTTTTTTGATCAGGGATGCGTCTATCGGGATATCGTTGATGATAAATTCTTTTTGCCAATAAACAATTTCTGTCGGATTCTCCCAAAACATAGACCATGTCAATTAATTCGTTTTTCGTAAAATTCATTATTAATAGAAGAATTATCGCGATCAGTAAAAATAACTTGACACTTCATTAATAAATAATCTGACACTTCATTAAGACCCAGCCTACTTGATTGAATGTTCACTTTCAATAAAACCACTGGTAGAAATTGGATTTTTGATAGATCAATGTCTTTTTGGAATTTACTTTTAAACGACGACAGATAGGTATTGGAAAGTACATGGGGAAGTCGAAGGGTATAAAATTCTCGTTTCATCGATGAATAGTAATACAGGGTGTTCTATTTGAAAAAAATGTCCTAGAAATTTTTGGAAATTGAAATTAATTTGTGACCACCCTGTACAAAATAAAAAATTAAAACTTGGTCTAAAAAAATCTTTGGTCTATTGGCTTTATACATTTGTAGTTTTTTAAATTCTAACGTCAAATTCGAGAGAGCACTGCATATTTTAATAGGCGTCTGAAAATGTAATATTTTTTGGTATTTCTTCTTTATCTGCGAAAGGGGTAGGATGTTAGAAACAATATTTTGTGGGTATGCACTAGTGACCATAGAGTACCTAAAATTGGAAAAAAAGTTGGGTCATTCCATTTAAAAAAAATAAGTGATTTGCCTAATTTACTATTGGGCCACCCTGTACACAAGAAAATAATTTTGGGATATTTGGTTTTGACCACCATTGACAGGTATACTTCGAATAAATCGTTAAGATTTGCATAATAGGAGTTATAGAACTACGACAGAGGTTTGGCCAACCCTGTATATTAGGGGAGCCGGTGACACTTTTGGTACACATTTGTACAAGTCATTTTTTAAACAGGCTGATTTTAACAGGAAGTAGGATGAGTAATAGATATCATCAATAATTGTTATTTTTTTAAATAGCAAATAAAACACTTTTTTTTTAATACATAATTGTAACTCGATCAAAACGAATCGGCAAATAGGAAATAATAACACTGTAAGCATTGTATTTAGATAACATAGTAGAACAACCTTATGGACGTTTCATTGAAGGCAATTCTGTAGCGACATCTGTTAGAACAAGTACAGAACTTCATCAAAATGGCCCGAGCGCTAGTGCTTTCTCGATCATTGAGTATAGAGTTTTATATACATAAAGTTTTCTTAAGTTTTAAATTCATTTGGGTAAATTGCCAAATTTAAATTAATATTGTTTATATTCTCTAAAATGATAATGATAAATCGAAAATAAATATTCATCAAGCATAATAAAACTCGTATATCTAATTTTTAAAACAAATATTCTGAATCGACTATCGGTCCATCTATTAATAATAATTAAGAAATTACGTTCGTTATTTAGTTTTGACAACCGTTCGATGGCTGGGTAGAAGACGACAAAATTATCAAAGACTTGACTTGGATGCGACGGAGCTTGCTGGCATCTACTGATACTGTTCATTGTCCTCCAAGATAATTTGCATTGAGATTGTTCTACTAGATGATCTAAATACAATGCTCCAAGTCAAGAATTCCGACTAAACTAGTTAAACTAGCAAACTAATTGTGTGGCAAGCGCGTTGAAATTGAAATGACAGTTGACCGAGTTACCCCCACTCCATTTTTTTGTTGGAATAACTTTGTCGCTTCTCTGTGGTTGTTTTTCTCGGCCGTGAATGTTTACAATTCAATTTTTGTAGACAAAATTAGTCTAGTAGTTTTTCGTCTTTGTTATTACTTATACTGGGATATAGTATGGAATTTACATTAACTTATACAGGGTGATATTTAAAAATAGATATTAAAATGGCCCTATTTAATATTTAATATCAAACTATTTCATTGAAGGAGTAATTGAAAATTAATGTTAAATCAAGTGTACGCCTCTGAAGTCGAATAACGGGAAGGGTGTCATTATTACTAAACAACTATTTAACTAAAATTTTATCTACTTTAGGAATATATTTTGAAAACTAAAATCATGCAAAGGAAAGAACAATTCAAAAACTAGATTTTTTTACGTCATCACTTATGCACCATATTTTAGTACCGCACATCTTGATTATCCAAAAAAGTCCTCCCAGTAATAAATGAAAAACAAAATATCTACATGAATTTTTACTGTGTGATGCATTGTAGTTGCATAATGTATCTTTACAAGATAATACATAATGTTTATGTGTATTTATTAATTATCTTACAGCAGAAAGTCCAACGATTCCAATAGGTAGGGAAGTTGACGACAGCGAAACCGGTGGTGAGGGAAGTTCAGGTGATATGGGACCTCCCGGTATCGCAGGAACATCTTCAGAGAGCACTCAGCAGCTAGAACAAAGCGAGGAGATGCTCGAAGGAGATGACGGCGTAAGTGTGATAGAACTGATAGATTAACAGATTGAGTATGTGTTTAGATATTGTTGTTTGAAGTCTGTAGTATTCCAAAAAATAATATTCAAGAATATACTTAGTAGAGGGATTATGAAGAAAAAATGATTATCAAATGACACTTTATGTCAGTTTGTTAATCAGTCAGTCAACGACTTCATCTGAGCTCAGTGTAAATGATTGAATATGGATAAATAACCTTATCGATTTTTAACTTTAACAAATTTTTATTGTTCTTTGTTCTGTGTAATTCTTTATATTTTTTTGCCATGTAAATCCTTTTTTTTTGAGTAGACTTTAAATATATTCTTTTCGCAGATACAGCATTGTAGTTGCAGTTTTATTTTAGTAAGAGTAATTCTGGATTATTCTGAAAAACTTACCATTAGTTCCTTAATTTTAAATTTCACCCTAATATCAGATGAATAAAATATTTAAGTTAAAGTTGGTTAACTCTTTGGACTGATATTGTTTTTGAAATACAAAAAAAAACTAATAACATTTTTATCATTAAAACATTTAAAAATGTGATACTAATAATTGTAAAAATTAAGAAATTTAATAAAAAATTAGTCAAATTTATTAAGAATTAATAACAGTAGATTTCATTAATACATCTACATGATATATTAATATGTATTTGAAATGCAAACAATAATAAAATCATCTTCTGTAACAATTTCATATGTTATCAATTTTTAGTACAATCATTAATTTTGAAAAACTATGAGTTGATACATTTTAACTCTAAAAAAATATTCAACTAAAAATAAATCCAGAATTATACTATAACAATTTGCATCCTATTACAATTTTTCAGCTTCGCTTTTTTCCCCCTGGTAAGTTCCTTTTTCTTAGAGAAACGTTTGGCATCATTATATGACGAATTTTATCGTTTTATTAATTTTTTTGAAAGGTGAGTTCAGAAGGCGAAAAACCGCCGCTGGCTGAGGAAGGCGAGGAAGAAGGTCGAGAGGCTGAGGCGTCGCCCAGCACGAATTCAAGAAACATGACGAGAGGATCCACTGCACGTAGGTCTGTAAGATCGTCAATACCCAGAGGGGGCCATCCTCATAGAACTGGACCCACGCCTATTATCTGGGGTGATAGATCCCCACAAAGACATCAAGGTAAGTACACAGCCACCTTGTCTAAATAATGGCCGTTTATTTTTTTAATGGTGTGATTAAAATAAACTTTCAAAAAACTGAAAAGGAAAAAAATTAATCAAAAACAGTACAAAATTAAATCAAAAACAATACAATAATAAATCTCGAAGCCATATATCACAATATGAGCGGCCATTTTCCTCCGTAAAACAACTATTCCTTTGGCTAATACCGCAACAGCCATTGAATTATATCTAAAGGAAAACAACAGGGATAGAAAATATTTTCAACACTCTTTGATTTTGCTTCCTAAATAGAACGTAATTCTTGGACTGGTTTCGTCCTTATTAGGACTTGTCAGCAATAAATAGACATTCTCAAATCTGCAGCTGCGTTATATTTCTTCGTAATTATGACCAGTGGTTGTGTAGGGTTATGAAGTAATAAAGTGAGAGCCACTTTACACGTCGCAATTTTCTTTGCCTCCAAATAAAATTGTGGCAATTCCTATTGCATGTCTGCACAGTAACGTCCTTTCGATCAGCTGTGGCAAATTTTTTTGCAATTGTAGAAAATAGCGACTGACTGAAAATTCGAATTGCAGCTACAATTCTAGGAAAAACAAATTGGCGGAAATAAGCGCTGCCAATAAGTTTAAAAATCACTAAAGTATAAATTTTTGACATTTAATATGTTTTTGTGTTATTTTACGCAAACTAACTTACTGAAATGTGGAAAAATGAAGGAATTTTAATGATGTATATTTTATTTAATTATTATGGCATGCATTATATTGATATATTGAACCTGTTATCATAACTCAAGGACTATTTACATACTAGAAGGATGGATTAGTTTTATAAAAAATTACATGTTACTTATTTATTTAAGAAACAAACAGGCGTATCCTAATTATATGTTTTTATTAAATAACAATAATTATTAAATTAAATATGACAAAGCCATACTGAGCAACACACAAAAAAACAAGTCAGGATAGGATTATTCACCATCAAATCCGAAATGAAATTAAAACACGCAAAGACTGCGAAATTTATCGTGCGGTTGATGACGTATCCAGTGGCGGCTTGTGATAGTTTTAAATGGGTGTTCACTTTTTCCAATAATTTTAATAAGTTCGGACCAAAACTTTGTGTACAAGAGTCAATATCGCTGTTTTTTTTATTATTTGAGTATGTATTAAGTGTAGTTATTATTATCAACATCATACTGTTTTCAAACACTACAACTATTAATAAATTAATATTTTAATTAGTGTAATATTTGTTTTGTTTTTAATACGTTGAAAACCATCTATAAACATTATTAGTTAGTAAACTGACTTTTCTTCATAATTTGAGATTACTTTTAAATATATATCAGGTCATGTAGAAAGGTTGACATTGATTTTTGTGTAAAAAGTTTAATATGAAACTTTACCTACCATTTTTTAGTTTTTATTGTAAGTTTAATCATTTTCACAATTTGTCAAGGATGTCAAATAAAAAATATATTTTTTTAAATACCTTTTATTGGCAAATAAAATAACTAAAATGTTTCAAATGTTTATTTTATAAGATCAGTCTCATCACAATACATAATATTACACAGACACAAACTAGAATAAAAATATATAATGCTTGGCATTCTAAATGATACTCTTCGCAGTTTAACAGAGCCCCTTAACCCCCATTTTCAAACAGATTGTTTTCACAATCAATAGGCCTCAACTCCTTATAGAGCTTGATTTTTACTAAAAATTTCATGTTGATATCGCTTTTCATTTTTGATTTTTTTTTTAATTTCAACCCCTCCTTAAATCGCCCATATTTAATCAGATTTTTTTATAGTTAAAAGGCTTCTTCTCCTTTTAGAGATTGATGTTTGCTAAAAATTTCAAGTTTATATCATTTTTCGTTTTTAATTTAGGATTTTTTTTAATTTCAATCCATCTTAACCCCCTATTTTAATCAGATTTGTTAAAAATCAATAGGCTTTGTTCCCTTATAGAGCTTGATTTTTGCTTAAAATTTTTAAATTGATATCATTTCTCGTTTTTGACTTATCGTGCAGACAAAAAACATGACATCGGACAGACAGACAAAGTAAACCTATAATACTCTTCACAAAATACTGTATGAAGAGTAAAAAAAAAAAAATGTCGGAGGTAAAATAAACAATTTAAAAAGGTCAACAATAATATTCAACTTCTTTTATCAAAGGATACTAAAAGTTTGAAATAGCAGCACATAATTGAACACAGAAATCTGTGAACTAAACTAGTGAGATAAATATCGTAAAATGTTATCACACTTAATTCTCCATATGACCTTTTTTAAGTGTATTTCACAGCACATTCCAAAGTATTCTTGCACTCACTAATATCCTACCCTCATGGCTGCTTTTGCATGTCCAAGTTTACTAAAAAATAATGTGTTTTAATAAATAGAATAATAGTAATTTTGTTTAAATAGGTAAATCGGCTTCATCTGTATTTTCAAATTATTGTTTAATTGTAGATAGTATATTAATGTTTTGATATGTACTTATAGGATTGATAAGCCAGAGCATGTAGATATGTGGGATGTGACTTGTTAAGTGCCTAATCAAAATCACAATTTGTTTGATACTTATTTCGAGACTTTTTCGAGACATTCTTTATTACCAACTGTAAACTAATTTACCAATAGCCTTATTTTTATTTAATACCTGTAGTGATTCAAATTACCATAACATCTAATATTTTTAAAAATACTAAATTATACAAACAAGGCAATAAAAAAATGTCATTTAAATAAAAAAAATTCTGGTTTGTATGCAACAAACGATCTTGGTTAAAAGGTAACACAATTGATAATTGCAGGCAAATATAACTTTATATAGGTAAACCATTTAAATGTACATACCGTTTCTTAGGTAAAATTTCTCATCGAGTATATTAAATTAACTGGTTAATCCATTTTTCCGATTCAGTCTTTTAAAGTGAAACCCCATCTGTCTCTTTATCTTTATTAAATTTTTATTGTACATTTCTATTTCCATAATGATGTCAAGTAGTTACCTCATCAAAATAATAACATTTTTCCTTTTAGTGGATTTTGTGGGAAAAAAAGTTTTTTGCTTACTTCTTACTTCATAGTATTTACAATTGGGTACAAAATAGACCATTTTTGAATTAGTCTTTGGATGATCTTAGGTACTGAAACAAAATATAAAACAAATTACAGTCGTAAATGTTTATTATATGTAAACAACATAATCTTAAAAAGTTTTTATTTACCTTGCCTTTTTCGGGAACAATCGTTAAATTGACATGCATCCTTCCAATTTATTAAAGTTGCAGTTCTCAATTAAACACATTTTTTTTTAAATGATCACACATAATAAAATAATCTTAATTTTATTAAAACCGTTCCATAATGACGGCAAACGAAATGACAGTCACAGTGTCACAGAACACTTACTCTATGAAAGTTTGTTTTATTTGGTACAGTGTTGTCAGAATATGTTTTGGTTATGTACCAGATTTGTCTAAAAAATGTACCAGATTCCTTAAATGTATCAGATTTTTCGAATTCTATTTGCAGTGACATCTAATTCATTGAAGGGGGGAAAAAAAGGGGGTCTTTATTGATCACGAACCCAAACAAGGACCACCATATATATATATTTTACACATGAACACTCAGAATGTACTACATCTAGTACAATTGTGAATTGTACTAGACTGGCAACACTGGTTTGGCAACCTTGTAATATGTTCTTTGACAGTTTGAAGAATCTGTTGGCGTGTTTTCTTCTCTTTTTAGCTATATGCATTTACCATACCGTCTCACTCGTGTTAGGCTACCTCATCGTAATGCGCCACAGACACAGTATACTTAGGTAAGGAGCGGCTAAATGCTGACCAGCGTGCACATATTATTTTTTGTGTTTTCCGCTAGATGGCGTGTATTTGAACGCGGTTTTTTTAAATTGATAATTTTGACTTGCACACCATACAGTGCGTCAAAAATTGTATTTTAAATTATATTTTATTGTTACTAATTCTGGGTTAGACGTGAGTTAATAAATAACCCATTCATTAGGAATTTATTGGTAAGTATAAATAAAATAACCAATATAAAATGTATCAGTAGTTCACTCATTTATTTTAAAAAATAAAATCACTACAAATTTGTTAGTAATTTAAATAATAATATTGGGTTTTGATGGTATATTAAAACACTAAATCATTATAGTCAATTTATTAAAATATAGAAATAATAGTTGTGACAATCATTGTCTCTAAAAAATTGAGTTTCATTCTTTTTTGTGTATAGAATTGTCTAATAAATATACAGGGTGGCTCACGCTCAACGGGACGGAGCTTTATGGGAAAACGACCAAAGATATAAAAAATTCGTTTGGGAGGAATACGTAGGTTACAGACTGCTACAATTTAAAATTTGTTAGATGTATACAGGATGTCCCACATAAGAGAAAATATACAAAGTTATATTATTTTTAATGGAACACCCTGTTTTTTATTTTAGAATTAAAAACTACATCAAAAATAATGTCAGTTAACTAAAGGTTCCCTATTACTATTATTATTAGTTTTCGATTTATTTGAATTTTTAAGGAAAAAAAGTCTCCCAGAAATTAATTGTTTACTCTTGTTTGAATAATTTTTAATGAACTAATTTTTTTTTCTTATGTGGGACATCCTGTATACATCTAACAAATTTTAAATTGTAGCCGTCTGTAACCTACATATTCCTCCCAAACGAATTTTTTATATCTTTGGTCGTTTTCCCATAAAGCTCCGTCCCGTTGAGCGTGAGCCACCCTGTATATTGAGGGTAGGTTGAGTATATGGTGATTAATAAAATGATTTCTACATGTATGTCTCGAGTCTAGAATAAAAATAAGCCTAATTGCTCCTTTTGTGCAATGAATAATACTCTTGTAGCGGCAGGAGAAGGCATGGCCGATAAAGTACTTTATGAAGTATATACAAAAGTTCTACTTTTCGACTG